CACTTCACGGATTTTTGCAACAAAATCTTTTTAAAACGGTAAAAATTTCAACTCGGTTGCACGAGTCAGATAATCGAGTTTAATAAATTAGATAACTATCAATCTATTATATTGTAGAGCCCCTATTCTGAAGCGTGAAAGTTAACAACAACACTTTGCCAGTCGTTTGAAGCACTCCACGCATTTCCACTCAGACATAGTAGTTGGCAGCAAAGTTTACAAAACTGTTTCTCGAATCTCGCCCCATGCCGCGATGAACGACTGACGCCATCTTCAAACTCAAATACACCAACTTTACAATGCTCTCGAAGTTCATTTGTTTCTGATAGTTTGTTAATGGCCGCTTCGTTCGCTTTATTTTTGCCTGCAACATTTTTTTTTACAACGAGAAAGTTCTTGCCTTGTATCTCACCAGATAGTAGTGATGAACAGGCCGAAGGTGGAAGCGAGCTTCACCCGGAATCCTCAACCTCAACATTATCTGTCTATGCTACACTTTGAATATCAGTGTCGGTATATTGTTGGGGCACCATGATTGTGTCAGTAGAAACGAGTTTTCCTGTAAAAGGTAGGTGGGCCGATTTTTGTGATGACCAGTGTATAATTCACACTATCCTTCCTCTTTTAGGTACACTTTATTGATACAGTTTGTATGCGAAAGTGAGATTATTTATTGAAATTTCCATTCACAAAGTAGTTGTATTTGAGCTGAAGAATAACACCTTTCGGATCAGACTGGGTTATTTTAGATATACCTACTGTACCAATCTATAATCACGTTACAATCGCTATTTATACAATTTTTGTTTGTTTGTTTTTGTTTAGCTTACGAACGGAACAACAATAAACGCAATATTTTGGCAGGCAATGAGACCAATTGGCCCAATAAAAATGTGCTTATTCAGCATTAATACGAGCCTTTTTGCTTACTCTTACAGCCGCTATAAAGCTGAAATAAATAATTAAAGAGGTGAGAGTTCCGAACCACGGAGGCCATCCATTACTTTCCCACTATGATATTCCCTTTCGGGGTCCTGTGCAGGTTGCAATAGGTTGAATTTTAATCAGATTACTTCTCGCACCCCTCTCCCTCGTGTGTATAAAAAATGCACGTTCATTGATAAGGAGTGCTGAAAAATTCTGTATCTGCATATTTGTACGCAGAGTGAACTCTACGTTTGCCATGAAAATACGACGGTGCGTACTTGGCTGTAACTTTGCTCTTTAATATTTAATATCAATGCAAGTGTTCTCAAGGAACTTTATTGACCTGGTACCTTATAAGTTTATTAACAGTTGGCATATTCGCATAGTTAACGAAGCATCAATGCTAGTTACGTCTCCCTTATTAATGTATGTGACCTCAAACACTCGTGGTAAGCTTTGTCAACAAGCTAGTGTTCATTGTGTAGATAAGTACCACATGGGACATTAGGTACCACGAGTAAGTATATTAATTTGTTTTTTGTTCATTTATAAACTTGCAAATGGAAAATGCATTAACGTGTCTCTAAATTGCAGCATCTGTGTAAGACTACACGATAAATAAAGTTAAAGAAAAGTTTCCGAACAAAATTTCATATTGAAAACTCTGAGTTTTTAGGTGCCGCATATAATGGCATTCAAGCGAAAACATTTCTTATGTTGCAAATTGATATTAATTATTTTGGCAAATGGAAAACTTCGAAGATGACTGAGTTTGTGAAAAATATAAACATGATAAACTTTACAATATAATTAGCGAAAGCTTGATGCCGTGCATGCTTAATATTTTCAGATTTTTCATTTAAAGTCGCAGCAAATGGCATAAAAAGCGATGTGTAAGTATATTGCCGAATAAATGAGCAGCTTAATAGGTGTGTATCACGCCATCATTACTAAATAACTCCGTTGAACTCGTCACTTCTCCCACGTCTGTGCCATTGTATCGCTCCCTTTTTTACTTCGAATAAAGAAATTTGAGACAGAAGCTTTCCCAACGCGATAACTTCTCCGACCTCTAGAGAATGCAAAGTGCTATCTTGAGTTTCATTTCAAATAATAAAAGACGAACCAGTCCCATATCATTTTTCAGACTCGTAAATGTTCGGGCGTATTTCACGGACGCGTAAACCGTGTTTTTGATATTACAGCAAAACGACGCGCTGTCTGAGTTGATTCAAACTGGCTCGTTTGTCACAGCAAATACATTTCCTGTCGATCTCGTCTTTTAGATTTAGTACAGATTTAAATAGGTATCTATTTCGCACTGGTAAACGCTATTTAAACAAATGGAGGGATTTATGTTGCTGTGTATTTAAAAGCAGCTCAGCTTAATGTGTTTTCTGTATCGTAAATATTACATTGTAAAATAACGATGAAGCCATCGATCGATACGATGGATTAATTGACTGATAGCAGATATACATCCCTCAGCAGCTCACATAGATCCATTAGCGTCGAAACCAAATTTGTTTCAATTGCCTGTTTTGAAAATGGGTCACTCGTGTCGTCAAAGTTATGCAAAATAATACCCCGGCGGGTTCGATCGAGTAACGTAACGTGACAAATGAATTGATCATTTATATGTACGGCACTCTTTCGCCTAGTTACAGCTTGTTATGAACGACAGGCATGTGTTTCTGTCGGCTTTGCGAAGTACGTGTCGAAATATACGACCTTTTGCGATGGGCTGAGGTTTGTTCTACGAGTACTGACTCGATTCACATGTCTACATTTATTCGATCGTTTAGTCGTTCACTTACTGAACTTTAATAACCTCATTTCATATTCGATACTTTTTGAAAAAGTAACGGTTCAGTCAGGTAAATTATGGCGAAGCTACTACTTATACCCGTAGATAGTAGGTATTAGGTATTTATTTGTAAATTATGAGGTAGGCTAGAATCCTCTACTCACGATCTTTCCTGAATAAGAATCATCGATTTGCCTTATCCACGTCATGTCCCGAATATTTGTTGCAACAATCCTAGCACTCACGCGGTGATTCGTCATGTCACTATCGGGTTGCGTGTAAAATGGCAAATACCGCATTATAAATCATCGAAGGTGCGTACGAACAGTTATGTTTCGTACGTAAAATACGGCTCTTGTAAACCAAAAGTTTTGAAAAAGAAATACAAAAAAAATGTTTGTTTTCGCCGATTTGCGTAATATATTTTGGAGGAAAATTATGATTACAGGGAGTTTACACACCTCACATAATAATAATGTACGGTAATTTTGGATCCTTTTCGGTTTAATTAATTTATTTATTTTTGTAGTTAGCCTCTGACTTTCCCACCTGAAAGTCGTTATTAACCAAATGTAATTAATACCAGTAACACTCTAATCCCAACAAAGGCATATTATAAAATATTGTATTGAATTCTGATCAAATCACAGGCAGTTATTAGCGGCGTACACACGATTGTCCCTATCAATTTATACAATTGGTTCGTGTTTTTCACGAGCTGACATGCGTCGTTACATTTATCGGTCGATTAAGCACAGCTTTCCTACACAAAATTGATTACTAACGCAATCCGGTGTAGCGTGAACAGACTGATTATAGCTTGTACGCGTCTAATGCACACCCTTTTATTTGTTTATTATCGTACACATGATTTATAAGGTTGTAATGACAGCTAATTAGGCCATAATCACGCACATGTTTTTAATAATCTTGTACAGAAGACATCACTTCAAACTGTACATTTTTGTTGCAATATGGCTCCTATTACAACTGCAGAAGAGGCCACAGTGATTAGCTTGACGTGCTGTTGGCTGTACATTTAATGGAGCCCACCTTTTCTTAGATTTTTTTCGGATTTAGTTGCCCCCATTCAGTAGGTCCAAGTAAACCCATTAACTAAGTAAGTCCTCGTTCGTTTCAATCCTTCGCTTTTGTCCCTTTACATTGCCTAGATTTAGCTTTTTTCATTCGAGTCAAAGAGGATTCTAAAATATTGATCTTTTGTACGAAATTGGAAACGGCTAAAATAAAGAGAGCAAACAATGAATAGGTTAGCCCGGCTTTTCATCTCCCAATACAAATCAAACGGGGAGATACTCGTTGCTCGTATTGCGTTTTGGATATTAAGCCTAGATTTGTACTTTGTGTTGTAAATATTAAAGTAGAAAATAATGTTTGTTGGTTTCTTTTCAAAAATACTAAAATAATCATTAGGAAGGAACTACGTGATAGTAATGTAATAGCCAATAAAGCTTACATCCAGCTTAAAAATTTGAAATAAATGCTGCTAAGGTGCCGGCATAGTAGAACAGGAAGACTCCCATTTTTCATGTGGAAGTCTTAAAAGGCAACTTTTAGGGACTAAATCGCGAATGTTAGGCATCACCCTGGCCAGTGCGGGAAGTGTAGGCTAATCCTCTATTTACCTCTGAAAATACAAATGTAGTCGTATCGAATGCGTTAACGATCGAAATAGTAAGAAAATACGTTCTGTGTGCTTACCATGAGTTTACGTTAGGTGTGCTCGCTAGCGACTGCGTAAAAAAATGACATTTAAATGTATGACATATTGTGCAGCGCCCCTAGCGGCTACTTTCAAGAAATAAAATCTTCATATAATTTTTTGACGTATTCGCTAGCGAGCTCACCTAACGTAAACTCATGGTAGGCACACTGGTCTCGAAGTCCAAAGTTTTTCGTGCTAGTGGTACTGGTATTTTAAAACCACTATCACTAGCACTTTGGCGCAATGTAAAATCTCTGGCAATGGCACCTCTCTCTGGGACTCAATGGAAAATGATGATGAAATTATGCTGCAGTAGAGACTAAGGCTTAGTTGCACCAACTTACTTTCACCGTAACTTTAACAATAACCGGTCCTTTTTGTATGGAGTTTGACAGATTTTTAACGTTTGTCAAAGTTAAAGTAAAATGTTGCAACCCAGCCTAAATGACTCTATTTATAATCATGACGAAATACCCTATCTTCTTCCTACATCCAACCATTTTTTGCATAGTAAATAGAGTTTTTCTTCTTTGTCCCCAGCTAATAACCGAGATCAACGTCCAACTGGCGTTGTTCCGGGACCTGCTGATCCACATCGGGCAGTCGCATGACTGCCCGGAGTTGCGCGAGCGCGTGCGCCGCCTGCGCCGCGCGTGCGTGGAGGCCACGAAGCAGACCAGCCAGCTCGTGCTGCCTAACTGTAAGAAGTAAGTGATATAATGGATATTCTAACTTAGGCCCAGTTTTTTGATTCACAGATGCCAAATGACAAGTGGTTAAATATCAGAAAAAAATGTTTTGCTTTGTTTAGCTTGACTTTTAGTACATTTTTTAACTATTAGTTTACATTTTGTTAATATTTAACCATTAGTAGCAAAATTTAACAATTAGTTATTTTAACCATGAATCAAAAAACTGGGCCTTAGAGTGAGGAATTCCCCAACAAATTGTTACAAACGTAACTAAGGCTGGGTTGCACCATCTTACTTTAACTTTGACAAACGTCAAAAATTTGTCAAATTCCATACAAAAAACGCCGGTTATCGTTAAAGTTACGGTCAAAGTAAGGTGGCGCAACTCAGCTTGAGTATGAATAAAATATTTTTCTGTTTTTATATTTTTGGTAATTTATGCATTGCTCTCTAGTCCCAAACTAAGCAAAGTTTAATGTAGGTAGTGGTACTGTTGTAAACTATACAGCATACTTTAATGGCTCTTAAATACATAACTAAAAAATGTATGCATACGTTGATGCATAAAAATTTAAAATTAAGCGGGGAGTAATTTGTGACGCCACCTAAGTACTGTGCCAAATCGTCATATTGGATAAGGTTAAGTACGTAATAAACTTCGCCCGAGTAGATTTTGGTGGCCTTTCCAAAAAAACTTTTCCCAGCGCGCTGCGTCCCATCCCACCCAACACAGTCGTAAAATGTAAGCTCTTCTGAAACACTTTTTTCATACCATTTATATCAATTTTCATTAAGGGTCCATTAAGGACTAACTAAACAAAATATAGTGATGGGAACGGAAGGTGAGAATTGTCCCGTATGTCTATGAACACTTGTTGGCAACGACAGTGTCCCCGATCCTCTGACCAGCGATATACGTAGAGAAGCACGTGCCTGGTGAGTTGGAAAAAACGTGACAGAGCACTGTAAATAGCTAAAAAATATCCTACATCGTAGAACTCATTAGTGGAATGACTTATCACCATGGGTGTTAAATACCTATCGAATAAAACATTTGCGGTCTTTAAGAATAACGCGGGCGAGACTTTCTATAAAAGAAAAGAGGCATCGACAACTGTTTTGATGTTGAATTTTGTGTAACCATTCATTATGAGATCTTATAAAATTATGTTTGTGCTTCTTTAGAATTTAAAAATGTGACCTCATTTAGTGATGGTCAACTCGAGTACCTAACTCGAGTTAACTCGAGTTGGGCGTAACTCGAGCCCACTCGAGTTGAATTCTCTCTGACTCGAGTTCGTAAACTGTATGGAACCGACAGAAACTGCCGGTTATTGTTGTAGATTTTTGTGTTTTATGTTCTGTTTTTGAAAAATGCCGGGTCCTAAAAGAAAATCTTTAGTTTGGGACGTATTTGAATCGCCGGAGAGTGGACGCGTTGCGTGTAAACAGTGTTCAGATTCATTCAAATATATTGGAAATACGATCACATTATTAAACCACATTAAAAAAAAGCATCCTAATGTTGCCATCGAGGAAAGTCAGAGTTCATTATCAACAATGAAAGTACCTAATATGAGTACTTCGACTGATTCATCGCAGTTACTTGTATTGACAACCACATTGGATGTTGAGCCTCCTCAAAAAAGGTTAAGGCACACTCAAACCCGTCACTGTGCCAAAAAAAATAACGCTTCTGGTATTAACGCTTTAATTAATTTGATAGTAAAAGATTTGTAGCCATTCACATAGTGGAAAATTCAGGTCTAATTTTTTTAACTAAGTATTAATGCGAAGCTGAGGGATTAAACTGGTAAAAATAAATAAAAAACATTCACTTGTCCACCCAGTTAACTCGAGTTACGTAACTCGAGTTCAACCCGAGTTATGTGGATTTTAACTCGGGTTAAATCGAGTTTTATTTTTTACGAGTTGGCCCATCATTAACTCATTTGTTACCACCCTCCCGATAGAAGTTTGTGTCTTCCGGTCATATTACCGTAGTAGGTACTTTCACGAAAATCCTTTTTATTCAACTTCCTTTTTTCTTTCTTTCCTTATTAATTTATTTCGTGTTCAAGGAAAATATAAAATAAGTAGTAGGCTGAAATATTTACTGGAAAGTTACCTACTTCACTTAAGTACTCGTACAAGCTAAAAATTTGTGAAAATGCAAAACATAAAACTTTCTCGGTGTGATCTAGACTCTAGAGATGTAAATACTTTTGCTTTATATTTACATTACTTATAACAATGATGAACTGAAATCAATATTTGTATTAATCCTTCTTACCGATTATTGCGGACAACGCCCAATTTGCCAGTACTTACATTTTTATGAGTCGGCATTAATGGGTTTTCAATCGCCAAAAATTGTACCTACAAGGTATTGAAAATGTTCAGTTACTGGCCACATGGCAACAGAACCAATGTTGGTATCTGAAATATTTTGGTTATTTAGACGTAGAGAAAAGCCGAACACACGCTCAATCGCACCTCTCCCGGGCCCGAATAGATGTCCAGGTTTAGACAAATGCTCTTTCACTACTGATAAATGGCCGCCCGTTTTCACACAAAATAAATAGAAATAAAACTGGGATAAAAAATAAAAGTTCAGTCAATATACTATTGTAGATTTGTGTAAGTATATTTGTTTCGCGGTGTAAAAAAACAACGAATAGGTACTTTCGAAGTAAAATATGAATGATACATTTTTAGATATCCGATTCGCACTTTTTTTCCACCAGTAGGCCTAAGATGCGCGCCGCGATAAGCGGTTATCACGCGGTATCAAACTCCATTTTATAGATTTTGTCCATACATTTTGACGTCGATAAAAGTTATCACGGCGCGCATCTTAGGCCTACTGGTTGGTTTTACTAAATGGAACAAATATTTCATTGATATAGGTAACAATCGGACCGTGGACCGTTTACATTTACATTAATATGAAATGAAACTATAAAAAGTACAGATACAGATAATAAAAGTAATAGTTTCCAAACGCAAATGAAATAGCTAAGTAAGTACCTACTCAGAGGCGTTAGACACAACACGTGAATGTACATATGAAATGAGTAGCCATGAAAGTTATATTTGTTTGGCCAACTCTGGGGTTACCAAAGGTGAACTCGTAAAACTACTAACAGATTAAATTTGGCTTTTGAACTAACCCCTGCCGTGTTTAGTCAAACTTACTATTAATATAGACGTGTAAAATTATTAATATCTCATTACGATTAACCGGATAGTTTTGATTGGATGCTTATTGAGTTAAAATTTTGTGTTGTTGTCGGGTCGAAGGTTCTTCAGTTTTAATCACTATAGTCCCTTTGACAGCACATCAGATTACACCTTTTGTTGTAAAATAGCACCTAAGTATTGTGACTTTATAAAATGCCTCAATGTACAGGTAAAATCTTTATTTAGTTTGGAGATTAGTACCAGTTTGATTACGAAAACCAGGTATTTAAAATGAAAGTTTTAAAAGGTTACGTAAAGTTTTTTTGGTGCACCTCAGTCATTAAAAACCCAACTCCATAATCTTTAGAATTCGGATTCGACACACGCAATATTTTGTATAGGTACGGCGACGAATGTGCAGCGAAGTACTCGTACTGTAGCAACGGAAACTGCCGGTTCAGTCGACAAATTGTGTTCGTCGCTTTCATGTAACTTGAGTAGATTCCTCGTACCCAATTATTTGCATTTCAAAAGGCAAACCAGTCCTCTCGGAAGTAAATCCGAAAGAGAACTAATTACGGCACGAAAAGTTCCACCTTTCACCGTATCCTGTCGATGTGACGTAATTCAACAAACTAATAAATTCCAGTAACGAAATCGCGGATGACGAGGGCCATTGAGCTCTATTTTAATTCTTTTGCCTTCCGATTTGTTGGGCAAACCCTTATCCTTTCAAAAAAATTAAGCAATCATTCATTTTATCGGTTAAATACTTTTCGAATCATTTTTCGTTTTACATCTATGTTTTACCACAAAAGAGCAAGATTGTGTAATTTTCAATTTCAATCTTGCTATTAGTAGCTTATTCAAATAATAGCACCTAAAGTACACACGACAATATAACTTCGTAACTAGTGATGCCCAATTCGATGAAAACTAAATGTTATATTATTATTGTGTTCTATGACAACAGTACTATAACTTTACATAGTTCGCAGGGCTTGACCACATTTCGCCGAAATTCAAGTGGCCAATACTTAATAGGTCGATGACGAGTGGTTGACAGTTCAATCCAGCTTCGGTTTGTTTCAGTGGGCGATACATAATTAAGTCGAAATTTATATTAAGAGTACCTATAAAATAGATATAATATGAGTAGTTCTTCATTTATCTAAGTTATTAAGTACTTTTTTAGTTCCGCATACAGAACAAAGATCGAAACTCTATACAATTTCAAGCTATTAATCTATATAATTGAGGCTATTGATTGATAGAATTTCTATAAAGAGACCAATCACAGCATACAACCTATAACAGAGCTTGAATCGAGTTCTGAGTATTGTTTTGTAATACGGATCTGAGAATACCTACTTAATGGTGATTAACAATTGTATTGCAATAGATTTATATGAAAACAAATATAAAAATTATATGAGGGCAAACTTGTGAATAAAAAAGCTAAGCCTAAACCGTAGACATACTTCATCCACAAGACGCACTTCAGCACACACGAAGTGTATCTTTTACTCATATTTTGTACAGCGGCCCATCAGACTACATATTTTTGTTAAAAAATAGTACCTATTGCAACTACATAAGACACCATAGTCTATACCTTGATGTGCTGTCGTCTGTACATTAGGTATGTTTGAAGGTAAAACATTGCTGATTTAATATCAACCGCTCGTGCCTACCTATATCATCTCGTCTCACATATTTCTATTTACGATATTACTTCGTTGTAAAACACAGGAATGTTTTCAAGCGCCGTTGACACGTTTATTGAAAATAATATTATCAAGAATTATTCAAATGTGTGTGTGTTTAATGCTGTGACTATATTCTGCGATGGGTACAAGAAAAGTGATCACAGAGAGAGACTCATTCTTACTGACAATCAAGTCAGTTATGTTTAATGTCATAAAATTGGGATAATCCATTGCTTTTTATATCTACTAAGATAATACATACAATCAAATAGGCATATTATAAATACCTATTTATAATATAATATTATAAATACCTATTTATAATATGCCTATAGGAACCCGATCGCGTGGCAGGTCACCAATGCGCTGGACCGACCAAGTGAAAGCAGCAGTGGGAGACGGCTTATGTGACTGCACCAGACAGTCTGCCAATAGAGAGAGATGGAGGGAGATCGTGCGGAGAGTTGTATCCGCCTCTACAACCGATGTGTACAACGCCTCAACGTGACCACGACCGCTCTGCCAAGAGCATAACGAATAATAAGAAGAAATACCTATTTATTCAATGATTATTGACTCCGCTATTGAGATCTGTCGACGCGTTCAAGTAACATCCGAATTCCAATTCGTATACGAAGCTTCGCAAATAAGAGCGGACACGTCTCGTGATTCGTGACCGTAACTCGATGTTTGGTAGTTTTTCAAACACAGAATCCATTAACTAAAACTAGATTGCTTAGGGTCCAAATGTGTACAAGAGTATCGACTGCCTTGATTTAACTTTCAAAGAAAAACACTAATTAGTTTTTGATTACTCATACTCGTATGTATTGACAGAATGAAACCATAAAGCGTAGATGTATGTCCGAAAATCGATCTTGTAGGCTGATAGTGTAGGGCCTGATATTGTTTCAAATAGCTTTGGAAAAAGGGAAATCGTTCACGTCTTTGTTGGCAGGTCTACAAGTAATAAGCAGTTATGTTTATTTGTTGGCAGGTCCACGAGCGAAGGGTGCTCCGAGCAGCCACAGATGGTGCTGCTCTACTTTATGGCGCAGCTGCTTCTGAGGGAACTGGCCAAGTGCCATCGGCTGGTCCAACTCGTGCCCATGGATATGACGTCATATTATGGTATGCCCTACAACTGTCACTTTCTACTATGAATTTCATTATCAGCCCAAAATTCACTTTTATGAGAAATGTCTGCACGAAAGGCCTAGGAATCTTTAGGTGAAGATGATGATGAACATCTCTTATCTAAATTACTACGGTCTCTATAACCAAGACTGTGATTTCCACTAAAAGAAATAATTTAACAATTAGCAGCAGCCATAATACCTATTTTTTCAATTGCATAGGTATCTCTTGAAACAGCATTATGTTACATCTAACAAATATGGGAATTGAAACGTCATAAAGCATTACCTAATCGGCTTTTACAAACGATAGTGTTTAAGTGAACATTATGTTGATGCCAATAACAAATTAATAGCTTAACGAGGAACGTCATTATGATGCTGAATTTCTGACGATGTCGCAACGTGGCAGCGATTGATATGCATATAATACGACGTGGCTAATCAAATTAGGTGCTGTCATAGTGCGTAGGTAGATTGAAGACCCCGAGATAGGTACTTAATATGTCATCTAAGTTCGGCCCCGAACATTCAAAGCTACCAAGTAGCTCTTGTTACCCAATTTCACAGGATGCGTTAAATTTTCAACAGCGCCCCCATTTAGAAGCGGTTCCAGCTTACATTGTTACAATTTTACTGGTGGCTTGTCTAGATACCTGAATACAAAGGTAGAAACTGGAGTTTATTCTTTATTTCGTGAGCAATTTGTTCCGAAATTAAGGCAACCAAAATACCAGCGAAACGGTCGACACAATTGGTTTTTAATATCGGAAACACAAAAATGCACCTGCGTATTGGTTTTGTAATTGTCACGTGCCCTAATACTTTATTCTGGAGCTTTGTATGTGTTCTTCGTAATACAAAAGGCGACGATTATGTGCAAATACTCCATTTTAATTATACCCATGGTATCTTGAAGGTACATGCATGTTTAATTTCATCCGACGGCTGAAAAATGTTTCTTGTCTGACAAATGGGTTTACTTTGCCCTAGGGAGGTTTTGCGGAGGCCATATAAAAAAATATGGTACTTACGTAAACAGTGGAACAAACATTTTTTGTTGGTAGCTGGCTAAAACAACAGACATGGCATTCCGGCGAGGCAACGTAAACTTTTTATTTTAACTTGGATATCAGTCATGGTTCATTTTAGCCCATAATCCAGTTAAGCTTTTTGGCTAATACCAACGTTAACTAGCCTGAATCGTTTCATATGAAAAAACTTATAAGAAAGCGATACTAAACCTGTTTAGAAGCTACAAACGTATTAACTACTTGTTATGTGTTGATAAAAACAATTTCCTAACAATGTATCCATCAGTTTAGCCACCAACAGAAGCTCAACAGTCCGCAGCATAGTTTATTTTACTTTGTATTTACTAGGTACGAACGACCGGTGTGAAACGATTTCTTTGTGTTCTTCACACCTGTGCTAACATCTCAATATTGCCTTGTTCAATTTTATACATGATGAAAAAACCGCATTAATTTTCATATTTTTAAAGACTGGTCCTTAATCATATCATATCACCAAAAATATGGCGAGCAGTGCAGTTTTTATGGATTAAATCATGTGAAAAAATTAAGTTTCACAAGAACTAAAAAGCTCTCTTGNATCTCTTGTCTTGACGTCATACAAGAACATTAATTTTAACTAAACATTCTTCTAACAGAAAATCGAGCGGGCCCGTCGAATTTCGGAAACGTCATCAGTCAAATTCTGCTGTGCAAGCAGATCACGCCTGACTTCAACCAAGAGGAGCTGTGCAGCATCGCCAAAGACACGCAGGAGATCACCAGGATAGTCAACGACATCCAGGAGTACCTGCCGCAGCATGAAAGCCTCAACCATTTAGGTATTGTATTAATAAGATTCATTTTTATGACAGAATCTACTTACACTGTACACCATTTTGCGATCTCTTACAATGTGTATTGTGTAAGTAAGTAGCTTTAAAAGTAAGGTGTATGCGAGCAGCTAATGTCTGAAGATGTCATGAACTTGTATTACACCTTCTGGTGTTATGACTATAAAACGAATTTTATGATAAAACAACAACATAATTTTCATTTACAAACAATGCCAATGCACGCGTAAAATTTTACGCAGAATAAAAATATAATGATTTTATAAGACAGAATAGAGATATCAGTTTAGCAGTAGATAAGTAATAGTGGTTCGTAATAAAGCCACCACTATTTTAACGACTCGCGTTCGCCATAATGCTTGCAATTTCAACGATAATGTTAGTACCGATTAAACGCATCACATATGAGATAACCTAATAAGTTAATAGCAAATGCAATAAAGATCCCAGTAGGATATTTTCAAACTAGTATGCAGTTTCAGCATACCTAATCGACATGAAAATACTTGACTCTACAAGATTACAAATTGATTAAATTAAATTAATTTGCAAGCAATGGAAACCAGTACACCAAAGCTTAATTTTGATCGTGGATGGCATTATAAAAGTAATAAATACATGGCTTAAAATTAGGTGTTTATTGCATATTGGTGGAACGATTAAGGTTTTCTTCTTTGTTCTCTATTATTAATGGACAAGTTTGTAAGTTCCACACCAATTAGCAATCTTGCAGACAAACTTTGCTCACAGAACACCAAACCGTCCCTATAGTGATGTGCAAAAAATATGAAGTATTAATAATATTGAGCCGGTTTAGTCTTCATTGTGTTCCAAGAAATAAATCTTATTTTAAGAATTCCTAGAATCTGTGGACATTTACCTATACATTTAGGCGTGTTCGTTTGCTCAATAAAATTGATTTTCTATCAGGCATGTGTGCTATGCTTAGCAACACGTATATCGTATTAATCACGCATAACACGCCTAAATACTTAATTCGGCGAGTTAAACACGCATTACGGGTAACGAGCTGTGACCTGGTTGGTTTAATAGCCTAATTGAAGCAAGGAACTTCGAATTACTTACCAAATCCTAATGCCGGCTTGAACCCGTTAAATGAGTTGAAACCCGACACGCAAGATTAACTCATTCTAGCTGGAACACAATGTGTGTATATGAAATATTCATGATTGTAGTATTCACAGACATTTACTATGAGGTCTCATAGTGCACGTGGACGCATACTTAGGGTGACACACGAACTGTGAGTTCCATTTGCTGCTTCACTTAAGCAAGCATCGTTTGTTATTACGAGTGTAAGAGTAACTATTTTATACATGATCAAGTAACAAATCTGAAATGTTTATTAATTACTTAGATACTTTACATAAATGAAACATTATAGGCCACGTTTCACCCATAGCTATGTATCTGCAGCTGGCGTTTTGATTTTATCATCTTTCGTATGAATGGAAGGGTTTACGTAAAGCCTCCGCCAATCTACTATCTCGTGTTTCACACATCAATTCACCCCAGATGTCGCCTATTCTATTTATACGACTTGTATAAACTAATATCCTACCCTCTTGCCCTTGTTTGTATTCCGTTAAGGATATGTGGTTTTCACGGCAAACCTAACCATTATCAGCGTTTTGATCTCTTCATCCGGCTCCTGTGATATTCTACGAGGTATAAATCCGAGTGCTGCCCCGGGATCCTTAATTACTCGTAATTATCAATGCCAGCGCGCGTTACATTACACACATAATAACAAAGGAAGGAGGGCCCATTTACATAAAAGGATTACGGGATTTGCGCCTCGTCCGCGTCTTTCAGCACATTAAGAACACTCTGCGGGGAAAAATACTCTTTATCCGACACACTCGCGTCGACTTTTACAAATGTTTGTAATTATCATTTGCTCGGTTAACAGAATTTTTCAGTAGCTCTTCACACAATTACCCGCGCTGCAGGCACTCAAGCATATAATATTTCGCGCTTTGTTCTCGCTTATTTATAATGCAGTCTGAATTGCCAACTTAATTTCTGACTTTGTTGTGGCATTTATTTACTTTTACACAACTGAGCAATTTCTTTGTTAGTTCATTGTGTTAAGAAAAATTTTAGTGTAGGTTTAATTACTGTAAAACTGTATTTTCCTGTTAGCATAACTTATTTCATGCCTGTATAAATCACACATAGCCTGCGTGACTCCGAAATGAACCCAAACTGAAATTATCCGTGATAACATCTATGTCATACTTTGACACAAAACGTGTTTCATTTCACGTGATATTTTAATTCTGACACAAACTGTTCCATTGTTTCGTAGTCACGTTATACGGCTAGGCTTGTGTCCTGATGACAAAATGTGTTACCAATTTTAAAATAAATAAAATGGTACTTGCAAATGCCTATGATACCAGGTGGAATTGTGTATCGCAAACTGAATATTTATAACAGTAAAAATAAATTCACTGTTCAAAATTGACTGCTCTACAATAGCTTTTATGAAGGTAACTCATACGTTTAATGTATGTATATATGCTGAGGTAACCAATAATATCATTTTCTTTTCCGTCTCAATGTTCTACATCCCGCTCCTTCGAAGGCAGCATCAAGTTAACTAAATGTTATCCGGACAAATCGTGTTAACCCCTGATCTTGTTTCAGAGACGAACGTTGCGCTGAAAGGTGACGACGTTAGCGGCCTATGGAGGAACAAAAGGCGGGGCTCCATGTACAAAGGCATGGGAGTGCTTTGTTGTGTTTCGAGGCCCAACTACCTCTGAGGGTGACGAGGCTCGCCGACGCGGCGGCCCAGCATGCACACGGACTGATCCCCATCTGTGAACGTGCTTACCTATTCCGAAAACTAAAAACGTGTTCAGTGAAGTTTAGGCCACGAGAACTCTATGACTACAGAATCAGTATTCCTAGGTAGTGAGTCCGCAGTGAACACTGCACGTATTTGTGTATAATACACATAAATTAGCCGAGTTAAGGTTAAAGTTAATTAATTACGACAATTTGTCACAGGATTGGACACCAAGTTAGAAGATATAAATTAAACAATCGAATGTTCAAACTACCATCAGACATATTTTTTGTAATCAACGCCAATGAAAGTTTGGAATATTGGAAAATTTGATTTACAATGCGTGAGAGTATAAATGAAAACAGATTACATGAATATTTATATCAGAGTAGTGGAACGCGCTCGTGATTCGGGCGTACTAGTACTTAGTACATTATATACGCCCAAGTATAGTACATATTAAGTGATATAATAGTGGATGTATGCATGTTTGTACGAGTACGCTGTACAGAATAGTAAATGAAAGGGTCCATTGTTTAAATTAGACGATAAATATCTAACGATGGTGGAGATTCAAGTATGTACAGTAATCGCCAACTGCGCGTAGTTCAATTGATATGTAGGTAGCTATTAATTATAATGAGTATACTAAAATCAATAATTAATTATACACCTAATTAGAAAGAGTTATTGTGAATTGCCTGGAATGGGATCAATTGCGTTTAAGTAGAATTAAATTGAAATTGTTATATTTCTTTGCACAATATCTCATAATTCCTTTATTTTACCACCATTTGACTCCAATTACTTTAAGATATTAATAACGGCCATTGTTTTAGTCGTAGATCTTCTTGAATACGTTTTTATACTTCTGTATCTATATGCCTTATCTTTATTATTTTAGCTCAAAATTTTTAAACTGATAATTATTAACTATAACACATATAAAATAATAAATTTAAAAAGACTTAGGTTAAATTAGAAACATAATGATCTTCATCACATTATTATCAGCACATATAATTTTAATTAGACTGAAAAAAATTGTTAAACTTGTTGAACACGAGGTATACCATGCAAGTTTTCATCAAACTAGATACATTATTATGTTAAACATATGTGTTTATTATACCATTTAATAGATAGTTTTTTTATACATAAAAAGTTAATAAATAAAGTTTACCAGCATCTAAATACACCCGAACAAAGCTAGTAGGCAAGTAATATTTTTTAATCAACCCTGCAGCGAAAGCCTCGTAGTGAGCGTCCATTGCCGCAGTTAACGTGTGGGGTTTAAAAATAACCTCGTAAAGGTCAATTCTATTAATTTATTTTTTAAAAGCAATAATGCTATGCTTTATTGTTGCAATTGTGATAATAAACAATAAACTATTAGGCTGAGTTGCACCATCTTACCTTAACTTTGATAAACGTCAAATATCTGTCAAATTCCATACGAAAAGCACCGGTTATTTGTTAATGTTACGGTTAAAATAAGTTGATGCAAGCCTTAGAAATACAAAGTCTAGACCGATGGTAATACCTATTCAAAATCCCCAATTTTCGACTTTGATCTGATAGAAGTGAAAAAATGAGAGTTAGGATATATGCACATTGAACTCTACGATAGAGGCATGTATTTTCGTTTATTAATTACTTCTGTATTAACAATAACTACCTAAACAAACAAAAATAAATCGCAACACAATCTAAAAACCGAAACCTGTTTCAATTATTCTTTTTTTATAAAAAAAAACAAATATAAAAATTAATTAAATAATAATTGGTTTGTTTTGAAATGATTGTTTGCAGTATTCGTTAAAAAATATTGTTTCCTATTAAATTATTACAGAGATTTAAGCTGATATGGCCTAAAAAAATAAAAATTAATAATACTATTTATTCTAGTCAATTACATAACGCCCGCAGTGTATTATTAATAATTTAATATTGTGTTTATTAATGTTAAGATATTCAGTATCTTATCATAGTAATATATTTACTAAGCTATTTATAAACAATGTCACAGCAAAGTAGACGACATTAATAGAAGGTTATGAAGGCTTACGCTATATTATATGCTGTGGTCGGTATATTAATAATACTACACTGAGTAATTATGATTCTCAATTTAGATCGACATAATTAATGGTACAATTTAAATACCGCATGTTCATTTATTTGTCGCTCAAAAAACAAACTGCCGATGTGTCCGTTTAATTTTCTTTTTCGTTTATTCAACCGACTTTTATTGACACATGGCAGGTATTTTGTGTGGGAATATGGGTTTGATTGACGTTCAAAAATGTACCTTTAAAAGTATTATTTTGGAGCCTTCTTTCAGATATTTTTTGTGTTACAAGGAATTTTTGTATAGTATTATTCTGAAAGCTGTGGCGGTAGACAAAGTTCCATTCTATAGGGTAATTGACACCTAGATCCCAGGCACAACTTCTGAATAACACTCTTTCATGTCCCTATAAACCGTAAGTTTACAAAGTGTTATAAAATTAGTTCTTTTAGCTCAGAGGCACATTTTGACAGGTCTAAAAGTATGTCAATTGACTAGTGGTGTCGTATTTTGTGATCGCTCTACAAACTCTACATAGCAAAATGGTGTACAAAAAAGACCTAGAGCGATCGCGAATCCTTTAGGTATCAGTCACGAACATTACTTTATCTAAAGACCCTGGTGACTCATAAGAAGGATAATTTTAAGTCCTAGCCAATTAATAAAATTAAAGGCAGAAACCAAAACCATTGAAACTTTTTGCTACTTGTTAAAAAAGAGTGGCCCACTCCCACACGTTAGTCTCGTTGTGTAACTCCGCCAAGTACCTACCTTCTTATTTTCAACTTCTCGTATTTTCCTTTAAAGTGACTCGAATTGAGCTTCCTCAATCAAACTTGTAAATTGGGTAAGTTACTTGATACTTGCTAAATAAATAAGTACCTGTTATTTTTTAACTTAATGTAAAGCAATCAGAAGTTTTTATTGCCTCTTTGCATTGTGTAGAATCGGAGATTAAGTTACAATTAAGTTACATAACATTGATATTTGTGTATGTAATCGTTAAATTATTATTATGCTCAAACGCAGTATTCTCGAAACTGTCAATTTGAGGAAAACTATTGGCTAGATATTTGATATGTTAAGATTTCGTCAAACTCTGGTATCTTTTAAACCATAGCCGAATATAATAGAACTATATTATAGCCGCCCTAGGGGGCGCTGTTTAATTTTTCATACAAAATTTTTCGATGACACTTTGAATACGCAACGAAACGAACTCGAAAGTTTTTCCTACTAGAGGTACAGAACAGACGGTGAAACGCAACTGCAACGAAACTGCAACTGCTAATAGTTACTTTTGAGTTGCATCTAAGTTTCTGCCATAGCGTCCGTTGAGAGACCACACGTGTGTGATCTCTTAACTGGTCGCGTCATGACGCGAACAGTTTGAAACTTTCACTTTCAGTTTCAGTTTCATCCATCAGAATCATCACAAAGTTGCAGTTTCGTTGCAGTTGCGATTCACTGTCTGTTCTGGGCCTAACAGGCACTGTAGAAAGTTTGGACGTACACGACAAATACTATATTNAATTATTATTATGCTCAAACGCAGTATTCTCGAAACTGTCAATTCGAGGAAAACTATTGGCTAGATATTTGATATGTTAAGATTTCGTCAAACTCTGGTATCTTCTAAACCATAGCCGAATATAATAGAACTGTGCCTGTAGACAATATGCCTGTAACGTTATTGATTCGAATCGATACCGATCATTTTGTCTAAGGTCCAGAACAGACGGTGAAACGCAACTGCAACTGCTAATAGTTACTTTTGAGTTGCATCTAAGTTTCTGCCATAGCGTCCGTTGAGAGACCACACGTGTGTGATCTCTCAACTGGTCGCGTCATGACGCGAACAGTTTGAAACTTTCACTTTCAGTTTCAGTTTCATCCATCAGAATCATCACAAAGTTGCAGTTTCGTTGCAGTTGCGTTTCACCGTCTGTTCTGGGCCTAACAGGCACTGTAGAAAGTTTAGACGTACACGACAAACACTATATTAATGGTACATACCTACTCGTCATTCACAATTCGTATATATAAAGCTATGTACCAAAATACACCGGATTTAGAAACACGAACTACATTTATATACCTAATTGATAAATAATCACATTACTAGGAGATAATGCACTTAAATCTAGTCAACAATAACAGTGTATTTTTGTTTTTTAATACACTATATTTTGAATTTTACTAGTCAATACTAAATTAGGTAATTAATCATCATTAAACTATGTTAATGCACTTACTAAAGTGATGACTGTGATATACTCGTAATATAAATTATTACTTATAGAAGAGAATAATTATGCATTAGTAAAAACATAATCATTTGTTTTGTGTTTTATTATAATCCTCTTTTTGTAAATAATTGTAATCAACGAATGAATGAAAGAATGGCCAACAAAATGTCTCTTATTCTAATCATGGTATATAATAATTAACCTCGTTAAGAAATTAATGTTGGTAATTACTGCAGTGAAATTTTATGTTTGTGACAAACCGTTATTTTTATATCCGACAGATAAGTTTTATTTCATATCTCATTAAAATAATATTTCGAATGATTTTCAGTATAAGCCATGTTAATTTCAACATTATCAATCTCAGGAGAAACATTTACAGGTTGGTACGTGAATATACGAATTGATAACGTGTGTTAGTGTGATGTCCTGCATATTTTATGTAACCTACCATTCAAACGCGTTGAGTTTGTATGTAACAAGCCTTTGTAATTTATTTTTTATTATTTAATTTCGTCTTTTGTTCTGAATCTAACAGCACACTCCTGGAAGGGGATTGTCAAGTCAAAATTTGTATAGTTTTCAGTACCTGTTTCAGGATTCAACAAGCATTGAATGAATTAATTGATAATAGCTGTATAAGAATGTTTATTATAAAACTACTCAGTGTATAACTAGTTGTCTCTCTCGTAGATATCTCCACGATGTCTGATGTAGGGGATGGCAGTGCGACCGCCGGCGCCGCCGCCGCCGCCCCCGCTCCCGCGGTCGTTCCTGGAACGCTTCGGCCTGAAGTCTTCTTCTACCGAATCTTTGCCGAACACTAAACATAGATTTTAATTAATTAAATTCCATTATTAGTCTCCGGATACTTAGATGTCATGTACCAGGATTTTGTAACCCATAAACACCTGATGCTCACCGAGCAACACGTATCGATACGTAATGTTGAAATCCCATTGAAGGCGGAAAACAAATCAATATTATGAATAATATCCCGTACGTGACCCGTTTGTGCTTTATTTATAGGTTTTTCATTGTAATTTCACAATCCTTTGTTAAGTTAAATTTATTTTGATACAAAATTTTCTTCATGAATGAGATTGTCCTATTTTCCTATTGACAAGTTTTAAAACAATGATTAATACTTACTCTCCCGGGAGTCCCGCCTAGCCCTCCTCGACAAAAACCCTGGCTTCACAGAAAAGCCTTTGTATTTCTTTTTCCTGTTCTTTTTTTCTACTGTCGAAGACGAAGACGTCAAGGATAATATTTTTGCTAACCTTAAATATAAAATATTATTTTTAACACCGCACACACTCCAAAATAATATATTCGTCACAACACTTACAATTTGTTAAGTTTTTCCTTGTTAGGACTTTTCTCGATTGCTTTTGGATTCAGGACAACATACACTTTTGAATATGCTCCAAGATTATCCCGATTTTCATCCCTGTAATTTTTTGACTCCTCTGACCCAGCTAAACTATTAGGTACGAGTTTGTGTCTTGGTTTATCTTTATATTTTCTGTCTAGAACGTTTTGTGTTAGCAATTGTTCCAATGCTTCCTCATTATAGCGGCTGTATTGATAACGATCATCGTCATCTTTATATTTATCCTTATTTTTAACATTTGACTGATAATTGTAGAGTAGACCATCATTTAGACTGTTCTCTTCCAATTCTTTGTACAGCTCTTTATAATACTGCCCCTTACTAGACTCCTTTTTCCTTTCGTCAGAGTCTTTGTCATCATATATTTTATTATTCCACTCCTTACCCTGAGTAGCTCTATGTACGAGCTCTACAATTTCTTGGCTTTTTAATGAGCCGTAATGACTATTGGACTCGTCTCGGGAGTCTACTTCATATTTGTCATACTCATCTTGTCCGTCCTTTTGAGCATTGTGATTTTGTACCAGTTCTAAAAAACTTCGGAAGTCTAGTTCTTGTACTGGGGCTGGTTTGCAGTAAACTTGTACGATATGAAATATTATTGTAATCGCTGTGGACGTAAAATGGTTGAGTCAGAAATATTCTTAAAAAGTTCAAACAAGGGCATTGTCTCAACTTCAGAAAGACAGATTTAGCCGTTCGGGAGGGATGAGAAAGGAGTTACAAGTTTTGAGGCCGTTCGAACGGTTGTCTCAAGTTACAAGTATCATCAAACTGGAAATTTTATACGAACTCCTTACCATTAAATAAAACCGCTGGGCTCAACATTATCAGTTGTTCGTTACGAAGTACCGCGTAAAAGAATACGTTCCGAATCGTTATCGAAGCAGTAAAATGTGTGTACATTTTACACGGTTATTTTCATTTTTCATTTCCGCTTATCGGTTTTGGGAATCATGCCTGTTTATACAAAGTAACGATGCCATACCAGTTGCACGCGA